AAAAGGGAGTTACACTTCCTATTTGGGGCAGGGTACCTACATAAATGACTCGGAATTCTTCTGTAAGTTGAGATTTATCTCTACTCTTCCATTATCTCTATTCTTCCATTTAGTTATTCAATTATTTATCGGGTCTAGTAATACTTAATGTCGTTTTAAAACATTCGTTTAAAATCTTGCTTGGCGTTGACTTGTATTGACATAACCTTCAAACACGTGGTATCTACAGAACGTGTGAAGTGCAATTAACAAGTTTTGCTTGAAAAAGTTTGTGTTTGGTTTGGTTTTTGTTGCAAAACTAGGGCTAAGAAGATGGCAGATGAAGAGCATATTCGGCACTGCATGCTTTATGAGTTCCAATTAGGAAGAAAAGCAAGTGAGGCTGCAAAAAAACATCTGTAGTGCTCTTGGTCAAGATGCAGTCAGTGCCAGAAAATGCCAGCGTTGGTTTGAGAAATTTCGCGAGGGAAATTTTTCGTTAGATGACAAGAGTGGTCGAGGCCGTGTGTCCAATTTTGATCAAGAAGCTCTTCAAGCAAAATCCTCAAATTACCCAACAAGAGCTTGCGACAACTTGAAATTGTTCACAAAAAACAATTTCCAATCAATTGCGTGCACTTGGCAAAGTCCAAAAGTTTGGAAAATGGGTTCCTCATGAGTTGACCGACAACAACCGTAATCAAAGAGTCACAATTTGCAGTTCGCTCCTCTTTCGTCAAAACCGTTTGCCGTTTTTAGAGCAAATTGTTACCGGAGATGAAAAATGGGTGCTGTATGTTAATTTGAAAAGGCGGCCTCAATGGTTGGACAAAAATGAGGCTCCGCAGCCCACGCCAAAACCTGACTTGTATGCGAAAAAAGTGATGTTGTGTGTTTGGTGGAATTTTAAAGGAATTCTTCATTATGAACTTTTACCATCTAACCAAACCATTACAAGTGCAGTGTATAGTGCCCAATTGGAAAGGTTAGCCCAAGCTTTAAGAGAAAAAGAACCAGGGCTGATTAATCGGAAGGGCGTAATTCTTCACCACGATAACGCACGACCGCATACTGCAAGAATCACTGCTGAAAAACTGCGCCAGTTGGAATGGGAAGTTCTCCCTCAACCTGCATATTCTCCTGATATTGCCCCTTCCGATTACCATTTGTTTCGTTCTTTGCAAAACTTTCTTCTTGGAAAAAAATTTAATAACGAAGAATGCCTCAAAAATGCATTGACCGAATTTTTTGCATCAAAATCACAAGAATTTTACAACAGAGGGATTAAAATGCTTCCTGAGCGTTGGGCACAAGTAGAAAACAATGGCAACTATATTGTTGATTAAATTTTGTTGTATTGTTTAAATAAATTCGATTTTAAAAAGTATTATGAAACGACATTATTACTAGACCTAATATTTGAATCAGTATGGACTCATACTTATTTTAGACTTTGGATTATAATCCAATACTATATTTTGTTGCTCAAATTGTTTCAGCTTTGGTTACGAGGAGCTCTTTCTGTTGGTTCTTGTGTCCCTTTGACATATGTTCTACCAAAATAAGGTTTTTGTGTGCCTGTTTTTTGTGTTGTTATTGTTTTTTTGTTTTTAAGTATTTCCTCACTTTCTGGCACTACAAGATGCTCCAGGCTCAAAAAATAAAAACAAAAAACAGGTTTGGGGTTGAGCAAAGGTCAAGACTGAAGGAGAGATTTGTTTGTGGAATGAAGGTGTCAGCCAAAGTCCTGGGATGAAATCAGCCGTGGTTGGAGAAGATGTTGATCCAGAAGATTGGCCAACTACAGGACCGTGAGAATACTAACACTTTGTGGATGGTTGTAGGAGGAAAAGATAGTGGGAGAAAATGGACATAGAAATACCACAAAAGGCCAATGTTATAGAGGCCAAAGAGAGAAAAACCCAGGAGAAGGGACAAGTGTGACAGGGTCTGAGAGGGGCTGGTGGGTTTGACCTTCAGTGGGTCACTGGTGACCTCTTTGAGAGCCATGGGAACAGAGGAAGGCTGGCACTGATTGTAGTGTAGGGCAGGTTCAGGCTGGGACACTGGAGAGAGAAGTAGCATCAGCTTCCTCTTCCATCTTCAGTTACTCCTCAGTCTCCTTAGAGGCTCTTTTCTTTGCTGCCCAGTAAATGTTGATGTTACCTAGGACTCTATCCTTGGCTCCTAACAGTTTGGATTCTCTTGGTTTCAAATAACAGCAGCAACTCCAACTGGCTTGCGCAGAAAGATTTATTGGAAGGAGACAAGGTTACCTCACAGGACCTAAGGGTTATGGCTGGACTTTGCACATAAGCTTTAACTAGAAATCAAGCACCATAGGGTTTCTGCAGCTTCTTATTCCCTGCTTGGTGTCTATTTCATTTCCTGCCTCCATCACAGATCGGCTGTCTCAGATTCCAGGCCACGTGGTGGAAAATGTCGCTCTGAGTCATACCCACTCCCTCAGCCACTCAGAGGACTCCTGCTGTCTCACTTTCATTCCTAATGTCTTCCAAAAGAAGAGAATGAGTTGGCCAACTTTGAGCCATCCAAGGGCAGACCCACAAGGTCATGCTGCACAGACAGGGCAGGGATTGGAACCTGGGGGAGACACTGAGGGAAAAGCTTACAGGATGGGCATAAGAATTGGGATTGAGGGAGTGATAAGGAGGGGAAGGTGGCATGAGCAACTTCTCCCCTCCCTTCTTTCTTTCTGGTCTGTGCTCTGAAAGCTTGGGTTCTCCTCAGCAGCAAATTCTAAGGGTGCTCTCCTTCCTAGATCAGGTGCCAGCCATATTGTTTTCTGCTAAGAAATAAAACTGAACAACTGCCCAGCTTTTATCAACTTCCCCCAGGACCAGGCAGCCCTCCATGGACCTTGGTGAGCACCCGTTGGCTATGTCTACTCTTGGGGAACCAGAGTTGACTGTTTCAGGGGCCAACTGAGCCTGTTCCTGTGGTCTTTGAACTTGGGACTGGACAGATCCCAGGTCAGGTGCGATTTAGAATGGTGGGAGGCTGATGGTGACTACGGCACAGAGACAGAGTCAGGGGCCTGGTCCTCATTAACCTGGATACCAGCTGTGCCATTGGACTCTACAATTGGGCCCATCACTTTCCAGTAAATCCCCTCTATGTCTAAGCCAGCGGTCGCCAATCTTTCAGACCTCACACACCACCAGTTGGCGACCGCTGGTCTAAGCTACTGTGAGTAGGTTTCTGGGATCCTGGGCTAATCTAACATCAAGGGAGTTATCTAATAGCTGTTCACAGCCTGGCCTCTAACCTCCCATTTCAACTAGAGAAAGTGACCCCTCCCTTTCTCTTGTCACGTTTCCTGGGAGAAATGAGGTCCAACATAGTGCTTGCAATAGGAGGTTCTGGTATGCTGGCAATGACTGACAGACTGGCACTTGATGGTGTATTGCTCCAACTTTGATATTTAAAAAATTGAAAATCAGCATGACTTATGTATGAAGATAAGGATCAACGACTCAATGATTCAATTTATGATGAAAATACTTGCTGAAAAAAAACTCTACCAAAAATCAGAAAGGGCTTTCCACCAGCCAGCACAATCTGAACTAAAACACACAGGATACCATCCTGTCCCCATTAGCAGGAATAGCTTTAGATTTGCAGAAAATTTTTGAAGATGGTAGAGTTCCCATAAACTCCTCAGCCAATTTCCCCTATCATTAACCTTTTATACGAGTATGACATATTAGTCACAATTAATGAGCCACTGCTGATACAATATTATTAACTAACGTCCATACTCTATTAGTGTTTCACTGATGTCCTTTTTTATTCCAGGATCCCATCCAGAATACCAAATTATATTTTAGTTATGTTTCTTTAGGCTCCTCTTATTTATCACAGCTTAAGACCTTATTTTTACTAAGTTTATCTGCTAATAATTTGTGTTAGAATCATTCTTACTTAATGGTTCTTCTATTTTACAAATTTACATTTTTATCCATCTTTAAATATTTAATACTTTTGTAATTTGAATTACATTAGATATTTTCCTCATGTTGTTAATGTTAGGAATTCTGAACATCTAGAGATAAAATATTAGTATTGATGCCAGTATTTATTTTAAATAAATGCTGGATATCTAGTGTCACAGTTTTTTAAAAAATATATATATATTTCATTGATTTTTTTCTTTTTTATAGAGAGGAAGGGAGAGGAATAGAGAGTTAGAAACATCGATCAGCTGCCTCCTGCACACCCAGCACTGGGGATGTGCCCGCAACCAAGGTACATGCCCTTGACCGGAATCGAACCTGAGACCCTTCAATCTGCAGGCTGACGCTCTATCCACTGAGCCAAACTGGTTAGAGCCAGTGTCACTGTGTTTGTTGCAATTTAGTAACAAACCGGCCCAGCATAAAGGGTTCTGCAATGTCCTTCCCCAATATCTTTACTCCACTCCGTTCTTCCTCTGTGTACAGCTGGAGAAGACTCACCTGTGTCTCTAGCACAGCCAGCGCGCTGGGGGCATTTTTTGATGCCTCTGACTCTGGATACATTATCATAGAGAAGTCTTAAGGCTCTGCATTCCCAGCACCTTGCTCATTACTCCGAACCTAATGAGCACACAGTACAAGTAGGTGCTATTTTTGTTCAACCAAATTGAAAACATGAAGGAAACTGGCCCAATAGCAGGAGAAAGCGGCTGTTCTCCTGAAATTAGGAACTGATGAGAATCAGGGAGCTCAGGTGGCGTGACAAGGACTAGTAGAGAGTGGAGGGTTACAGAATGGGGGGTTGAGAGTGAAGAGGAGGGGGTGGGGGCCTCCCCAATGGCAGAGCCTGACTCACGGCGCCTAGCCACATGCAGGAACCACTGTAATGGCTGCAATGACCACCTCTAGGATTCGGAGACGCTACCAATGATCAGCATCTGAAAACCGGGAAGAAGAGTTTAATCGCAAGTATGCAGAGTGAATGCTGACATTTAAATACACGACAGTCATTGGTCTCCCATGAGCCGCTCACAGCGTCAGACTTCACTTCTGTCCGTAGTTCATGGCATATTCGAAGTCTTTGAAGCTGACATGGCCATCTGAGTCTCGGTCTACTTCCCTGGGAAATGAAACAAGAGGTTACTTACAGTTTTCTTTGGCCCCATGTGTGCATCAGGGGCGCCTCAGAATAATAGGTCTCTGCGAGTTTATGGGAGAGGCACCCATTCATTTACTCGAAGGCTAAGGTTGATGCCTCATTTTTCGCTTACACTGATAAGTGGGATGGAAAGAGAAAGGTGTTTACGAAAACCTACTGAAATAATATATTCCACACGCTACGTGGAATGAAGCCAACCCACGGGTTATGTAAGAAAAGCAGGACGGATGGTTCTTCCAGTCATTTTGCAAATTCTTTCTGTGATATACCGATAAACATTTGTGCTTTACCCCACAGAAATGAGGACTAAACCAACAAGAGGTCAGAACATGTGGGGAACAGCAATGGAGGGAACGATGATTGACATCGAGCCTCACACTGCCTTTCCGTGCTCCTCTCATTGAGTCTGTGCCCCGATGCTGGGAGGGGTCCCTTTTACAGATAGAAACAGGAGTTTCAAGAGGTTAACAAGATCACACGGCTGGTGAGTGGCAGGCTTGGAAATCAAATCAGGATCATTAAATTCCAACACCAGGGCTCCATACACTACTGCAGACTGCCTCCCTATGTGAACAGGACATTCAGGAGAGAAGTGGTTGCACTGAAGTTTCCACAGGGCTCACACTAACTCCTGAAGTTCTCACTGGCTTCATCCGTGGCCTCGTGAGCTCTGCTAAATCCTCACAAACACCCCAGCACCTTTTCTGACTCCCCTCGAGAGCGGTGAGGATGTGAGCCTCTGGCTGGCAGTCCGAGCGGGTGGGTGGCCTCAGGAGGATTGGCCCTATGCTCCCCTGAGACGGGAGGATTGCCACCCAAATGGGGAGCAGCAGAATGGCACCCACGTGGGTAGACTACCCCATGGCAGAGGACGTGACTGCTGCCTAGGCCACACATTCGACCCTTCCCAGGAAAAGTAATGTTTATTTAAACAGAGCGTGTGAGAGGATAACTGATGAGCAGTGGTCACGATTCCTCTTTGGCGGGCACTCTAAAACAAAGCTTTACATGACTTATGGAAATTATATTCCGTTGAAACAACAAATGGGTTGCCACCATGACACAGAGCTTTTTAAAAACCAACACTGGCCCAAGGAACGGAGCCACTAATCAGCGGGACCGTTTTTAAAGCAGGCTTTTAAAATATTGAATTCTAAAATAAACTTTCTGAATATTTCATGCCAAAGTCTCTGAAGTCTTTAATGGCCCTGGATGAAGCGACGATAATTTTTCATTCTTTTGAAGTAGAGAAAACCCCCACTTCTCCGCCCCAGGGCAAAGCCACGTTGCAGTGTGTTAGTATAAAATGATCGCAGACTGTGGAGGCCATTATTCTTGTTACTTCTTTTGGTAAAATATACATGACAATTTCATGCTATGCAGGACCAAAAGCAGAATGTCAGATCTCTTCTAAGGGATTAGGAGTAATCAGCATCACATGTAACTGACTACAGAACAGAAACCAACGCTTGTATTAAATTAGGTAATTGAAGATTCTTAATATTGCCTAAGCATTTTTTCCCCTCCAGGAATTGGATTAGATAAATGGCCTTTTTTTCTTTCTTTCTGCTCTGAACTGGTATGGTTGAATTCTACATCTCCGAGGGTGAGTTTAATGGAGAACAGAGAAAAGTAATGTTTAGAATAAATGGCTTCTGATAATATTTTTGACGTGTTTATTCACTTATGGAGACGCTGCATGCTTGTAGAAAAAGGGAATCCCTTTGCCTGATTTTCCCAGCAAATGGCCTTCTCTGAAATAGCATTCACTTCTATTTTTTTTCCCCTGTACTTGTCAAAGCTTCCCATCCTAAAATGGGCACAGCATAGCCAAGAGGTGCTAAAATGGAAAGGTTTATTCATAAGGTGTGGAGTGGCATTTTATTTATGTAATGAATGGAGGAACATTATGTTTATATTTAGAAGGAGACATGGTAAAATACTTTTTCCTGCCTTCCCACTTTTCTTCCTCATCGCACATTTATATGAGCAGATCTGGTTGCTTCGGGGAGTGTGAAGAGGAAATTCGCATTTGAGAGCTATCATTTTAAAAGCTAAAATATACTGTTGTGCATTGCAGATGGAATTATTGCAATGAAGGAAGGTTTCACGGCACCCACACTCAAGCACGGTGCGAAGGAAGAACAGATGTGGCCGGCGGGTGGAATTGGTGAATTGGGGAGGAGGTGGAGATAACGGCGCTGGGTAGAAAAGTTTTATTGCTTCCGTTTGCAGCATTCAGCCCTAAAAGGAGTGTATTCAGATTATGAAATGAGAATGTGTATTCAGCAGGAAACCGGCCCACCACCCTTCACTCTACCAGAAGGAAACTCTACCATGGCCAGAACTTACCCTCATTCACCCGCCGAGTCCCCATCTCTTAGTACAAAGTGGGTAATGAATGGACTTGTGGGACGAACGAATGGGGCAAACAGTGGACAACATGACGAGATACCTACTGCCCTCCAGGAGGTACTGGGGGGTTAAAGAAAGAGTTTACGGAGTCTGATCACTGGCCAGAGAGATAATACACACCGATGAGGCCACCTAGGGACCCAAAAGCAATGGCAGTTATGGTCTATGCCCAACCGCATTATACAAACCCAGACAAGGCACAAGAGAGACCAAGGCCAGGGTCAGCTCTGGGGAATGAGGCAGCAGAGGACAGCACCCGTTGGAAGGGACCCCACTGAGGGGCAGGCTGAACGGTTTAGAGATAAAAATCAGGAAATTGGACGCCAAGGCAGAACAGGGAGAGTCCTGCCTAGAAGAGAAATCTGAGCACTTCAATCCAGGTACCTGGCTACTCTCTCACCAGACATGTGGATATAGGGAAGGTGGCCTTTGAACAATGCTGGTGTTAGGGGCTGACTCCCCCACAGACAGTCAAAAATTTTGCCTATAACCTGACTCCCCCCAAACTTAACTACTAACAGCCTCCTACTGACCGGAACATAAATAGTCAACACAGATTCCGTATGTTATATGTACTATATATGGTACCCTTAGAATAAAGTAAGTGAGAGAAGAGAAAATAGTATTATGAGAATCCTAAAAAAGAGAAATTACATTTGAAGTATTTAATGAAAATAATCCATGTATAAGTGGACTCCTGCAGTTCAAGTGTCAATTGTAAACATATAAACAAGCTTATATTTCAGAACTGGCTTTTCAAAGGAGTTAACAAAGCTTATATAAATGTGTGGGAGAAATATAAATTGTTATTGATAATAACTGCTTTTAGAAATGTAGATCCAATTAAATGAGAGACTTCCTGGTTTGCTTGTTTTGTTTGTTTTAAAAAATATATTTTTATTGGTTTCAGAGAGAAAAGGAGAGGGAGAAAGAGGAAGAAAGAGAGGGAGAAAGAGAGGGAAAGGGAGAAGGAGAGGGAGAGGAAGAGAGGGAGGGGGAGAGGGAGAGGGAGAGGAAGAAACATCAATGATGAGAGAGAATCATTGACTGGCTGCCTCCTGCATGCCCCCTACTGGAGATCAAGCCCACAATCCGGGCATGTGCCCTTGACTGGAATCAAAACTAGGACCCTTCAGTCCACAGGCTGATGCTCTACCCACTGAGCCAAGCCAGCTAAGGCTGGTTTGCTTGTTTTTTGAGATGCGAAAGGAAGATCCAGAATTGATTTTGGAAGTAGTCATTCAAGAGAGCTGAACTGCTCTGTCATTGATACAGGCCCATCTGGGTGGGAGAAGATGACAAGCAAAATGAGAGGGTGCAGGAAGAGGGGGTACCAAGAGAAATGTAGGGGGAGGCTAGGATCCTGTACAAGTAGAACTGGACCACGAAAAAATCCCGGTGGTGCAGTAATCAGAAGTTCTTGAGTTACCTGCAGTTGTCTGTATTACTTCACCTCTCCCCACCTTCGCCAAGGGGTGCAACAGGCAGACACTCTTCGGGGGAATGGTGTGTTGGAGGTGTCTATGTTGAGTTAGATGATGAGTTTGGTCTGAGTGGGCGCAGGAGAGTGCAAGAGAAGCAAGTGGGGAATGGTAAGATGATCTATCCACTGAATGAATTAAGAGAGAGAAGAATTCGAAGCCAAAAGCTGTCCAGAACTTTGCAAAAAAAAAAAAAAAAAAAATCTTGGGCGGTGCTTTAAAATCCCACAGTGTATGGAATGGGGGTTCTTGGCAATTCTATGAAGCCATGGAGATGTAGGAAGACCTCAATTGACCCTGGGATTCATGGAGAATTTCAGGCAGGAGTAGACTCGTTCTATTCAGCTGAGTTCTGACAGTTTTCCTATCTGTTAAAATACATTTTCTGACTCATCACAGAAGTGGTTATAATTACTTTCATCAGCATGAGCCTTCGCATTTGCCTCTTTTATATCCTGATTTGTTAGCCAAGAATTTGCTCTGTCCCTTTCTGTGACGCTATGAGAACTTTCCGGACTACGTGGGTGTTGGTGACCCAGCAGCTGAGTGGTCCCTCCTGAAGGAGCCAGGGTTTCACACTGAGAATCTTTAAGTGAAGCCGCAATGTTGCTCTAATGCACTCTGAAGGGAAACATAAGCTGTTGCCTTTTTAATTTAAAAAATATGTAAATAGTGAAATGTTCCTCACAAGTAGTACATGTTTTCTTCTATACAAAAATATTTATATCATAACATTTCTTGTAATGTTCTGAAAGTAGTTATTGCTTTGAAAATATTTTTTTTTGCTGTGAAATAAGTTGAGAGAGTCCTCTATGGCCAGCTCTCCAAAGCCAGATTTCACACTGGAATAACTGTTTTTGGCCAAGTTACTTTAAAATAAAAATAAAACAGGAAAGAAAGAGGAAATGGTTGAATTTCATTACATTGAAACAATAACATACTTCCTATTAGAATGATATAAAGACTATAAAAGTGACGTGTTTCAGTGGAAACACGAATACAAACTAGCACATATATTACAATTGCGATGCCATACACATCTATATTTATTTGGGTAAAAGTTGA